GTATAAAACAAATAAGTCATGGGGATGTAATGTACAGCATAGGTGAGAGTCAATAATGTTGTGATAGCGTAGTATGGTGTCAGATGGTTGCTGGTCTTCTTTAAAGAAGATGGGCACTTCTTTAGGCATACAAATGCTGAATAACTATGGTGTACACCTGAAACTAATATAATGTATGTTAGCTATGTTTTAATAAAAATCTTTTTTAAAAAAAGAAAACATCAGAAATAAACCACTCGTAAGTTTTAAATTGCATGACATTCTGAGTACATCACCTCATCTCATCACATAGGCATGTATCATCTCACATCATCACAGAAGGGTGAGTACAGTACAGTAAGATATTCTGAGACAGAGACCACATTCACATAACTTTTATTATAGCATATTGTTACAATTGTTTATCGCAAGTTAATCGCTTATTATGTAATTTATACATTAAACTTTATCATGGGTATGTATGTATAGAAAAAAACATATACATATGGCTCAGTACTATCTGTGGTTTCTGGCTTCCACTGAGGGGTCTTGGAACATATCCCCCATGGATAAGGGGGGACCACTATTATTGAACGGTCATCGGATGATCTTGTCTTCCTTAGCTTCAGGCTCTAGCTTAGTAAAGTGGTTAGTTAATGGTTATGGAGATCTGTATGCAATGGAGCATTCACTGAAGATTAGGAAGATACAGTTTTTGCCCTATAGGTTTTGACCTAAAAATATAAGTATTAGAATGTACAGGAAAACAGGGTGGATTTGTTTCATACATGTGAACCCAATCAGGCATATAACTTCTAAAATCTCCAGAAGTCCAGAATAAGCTTTTATATGTTTTATATGGCATAGCCTTACAAATATAATTACATCTTATGAACCACCATACATTTTATGGACCCCCACATTTTGCATATGTTTGTACATATTTCACTGCAGGAGAAATAAAAATAACTAGGTGGAAAATTAGTATTCTTAATGTTCATGAGAATAAAACCATACTCACTTATGTCATCATCCCAATATTAAGTATTTTCCAGGCTAGTCTAGCACATTGTAGACCCTTTGGCATATGTATTTTCTATCATATTTGAAAATTAATTATGATACCATTTATGTTTTATAGGATCTAAACCTTTCCCACGTTATGGTTATAAGCCCTCCCCGCCGAATGGATGTGGCTCTCCACTATTTGGTGTTCATGTAAATATGATTTTTTTATTTGATAAGTTATTTGATTGGTAGGCTACATAATACTCTAATAATGCAAAACTATCAATGCGTTTTCAGGTTCACAAATAATTTTGCTTGTTGTAATAGTGATCTGGTTTATTATGTTCTTTTATAGCTAAAAAAACACATTTAGTAAGTCCTAACAAAACTAAATGTAGTAAAATTCATGTTTTATTTTTTAGTTTTGTAGATGTTAATACCATTTTAAATATTTACTCGTGTCACAAATATGGTTTAAAACTTTGGATTATAGAAGTAATACTATTTAGGGTGAAGAAGTATAGATAAAGCATAATATTTTCTATATTAAAAGTAGGCTAAGTGGGATA